TGGTGAACAACTATTCTACCCACCAAAGGGATTCATTCTTGGTGTGATTTGGCAAAAAAGCTGAACGTTTTCGTGACAACCCTCTAGCTTCAATAGAATACGGTACCGGCTCGACCTTAATGGCGACTCGACGGACTCCGTTCGCATCAAAAAATAGCCGCGATATCGTAGGACACCTTTTTTGAGAGGAGAAAAAGAGTTATTGCAACGTTTAATTCATTCCATTACTTCGCTTGCGTGCAAAATTGGAAACGTGCAATGCCACAGAAAACCCTCTTTATCGACCGGTTTGGTGTTTTTCAACTAATCGTCTCACGAATGTTCACTGGACCAGGAAGTAAGCGACAGCTGCAGCGAAGCAGCAACAGTCTGCCCAAATGTTTACAATGGCCGAAATCTTAGACTGCTTGGAAAATCAGCTTCTTGTTGAACAAGTCATTTTGTAATATCAAAATCAATCACCGAGCCAAAAGCAGGAGAAAGAAAAATAAAACTAATCGTATGAAAATCAAAAGTACCAAAATCACAAAATCGCCAAAATCAAGAAATTTGTTCAAATTACATACATAATTACTCACTGCGAAAGAAATGGTTATTCATGGCATGATAGACGTTCAACCAATTGTAATCGGCATCGAGGTAGATCAGCAGGTACTGTTGCGAGTCTGTCAGACCTAACTTGCCCATCGACATCAGAATTTTCCGGAACAATCGCACATTACCAAACGTGACGTACACTTAAAGACGTAATATTCTAAGCAATTGCTCGCCGTTTTACGGTTTTTAAACTACTGTACACAGGAATAATGTGCTTACATCTCGTTATGTCTTTTGTTTGTTCCACTACACTGTCGATGAGTTTCTCCGATTGCACTTCACTGAAGCGAATCACTTTCGACACATTCTGCACAGGAATAGCGTATGTCATCCAATTCCATGCGTGCATTTTCAACGTCGATTGCTTGCTGAAAATCGATACTTGGACCTGTCACGGAGGGGCGCTAGACAACGGCTGGGTGCTATCAACGTCCTAAAGAAGCAGTGCATATGTACTCGAATGATACCACAAAATTTCGCAGAAAGAGGCCCTTCCTATTTTCAACAACATCCATCCATGAACCTTTTAGAATGCTCCCCACATATTTAATGGTATGGGCGAAAGTGGTGTAGTGGCAAGTGGCACGCTTACCACGCGAGCGGTCCGGGGATCAAATCAACCAAGCCTTCCATCCCTCCGGGGTCGGTTAATTGGTACCAGACTTGTCTGGGAGGATAAAAACTGACTTGTACATCGGCTGGCCCCCGCAAGTCATTGTATAGGCCACATCGCATTCAAACGCCACTACGAATGTACAAATGGAAGTAGAATGCGTGCCGCATCCCAAAAAGGGATTGATCAACGGCAAATGCTTTATCCTTTATCCTTTTATGGGCGCAATTTCACAACAAAAGAACAACATAGACAAAACGACGCACTAACCCGGAGCGCTTGGTACAGTTCTTCGTGAGCGGGATGCTCTTCATAAATGATCGTGAACTTCTTCCAGTTATGCTCTCGACAAAGCGCAATGAACGCCTTTACGATGTCTGTCTCGGCTGGTACTGTACGAGCGAAGGTGTTGTACCTAAACAGGTGCTATCAGTGAAGACAAAATCTATAATTATGCAAAGCTGTTGTTGCAGCAATACAGTGTGAAACAAGGAAACTCCTACCCAACCTGCCAACCCTTGATTCTCTGTTCCCCACCTTCCGCATTTTTCCTCAACTTCTCGTCAAAGTGGTGTTGAATTTCTTCGGCCTGCACTCGTTACCCACTATTTCGAACCAATATTTGCGTACTTTAAGCCCATCTCGGTAGGACCGTCAATTCAGCCGTCTTCAATCTTACGTTTCTTTGACCACCTGAAGATTGCTCACAAATTGCCGATACATTCGTTTCAGAATATACGCGTGCGTAGAACTCATTTGCCAGGCGCTCGCCGATGCTGGAGGCGAGTGGTTCAATCATTCACGCGTACTGAGACCTACATTACTATAAGATTAAATCAACTCTTTTCTGCTGTTGCATGCTGAAAAACAGATATCTTTGTCGAACAATTGCTGACAAAAGACAGGACGCTATTTGTTTATGTACAATGGACATATCTAGTATTGTGATGAGTGGCTTGCTCACAGACTCGTTTTTAGGAAGAATTTCATGCCACTCAGTTAGAGGCCGGCTGTCGACGAGACGCACATAGAACTCCAGAACTTAAAGTCTACACGTACGTGAAATTAATGCACATGGCTGTCCAGCGTCAGACGGTGCACTGCAAGTTTCGAATCATTAGCAAGTCATTTAGCCAAGGACAACTGCATTTCCAGTACTTACGCAACATTTTTCTTGACGGCCGCACTTCTCTCTCATTCGGATGTTTGATCACTTGCAAAACAGCGGTCTAGACACTTTCAGTTGTTCTGCAACTTCTGCAACATTGTGCGCGCTCGTAAACTTTTGCAGACATCTTGCGCCGTCTGCAGACAGCAGCGACTTTGCTGAACACATGCCTCCGATGAAATTCAGTGGAAAACACGAATGGCATGCAATATCTCTTGCTTTTTCATTCACATTCTTCCCTTGACTTTTCCAGTAGGCCAAAAACCAACTGAACACATTAACTGCCAAATGCAAATATTCGAAAGGCATGAATAAATCTTATGTTAAACAACGATACATAAGAAAATAAGAGCGAAGATTTCTAGTCCACCTGTACATTATTTCTCGAACCTATGATATTAAAGTTCTGATATGTTAGAAAAAGTACAACTGTTTAGTTACTACTTACAAACTCGCGTTGGCGCAGCATATAACTTGTAAAACTACTGATACTGTGATGAGTTCATGCCATTGATTGAGCAATAATTTCAAAATGTTGGGAGCCACATTCAAAAAAAATCCGTTTTCTGCTGTTCCTACACCCAAATGGGGGAACTCAATCACGGTTTCACATTTCCTGCATGTATCCCACAAGGAAGAAGAGCAAACAATCCTGAATAAACTTTCTATTCATTGGTCGACCCTCGTAATAAGACTTTTATCTCCCTGCCTCATTTCGCTCTCCGGCAGCGAAAGCAGCATATTGATTGCATTGGTCTATGAAACCTTGCAACTCCAAAATGCAGCGGGAGCACGGAGACCAGAACTCGGCACGCCGCTCGTGAGCTTTTTGCCTTCGTCTCATATCTGATAGCGCTAACCGTAATACCATGAAGGAGACGAGGACCGTTTAGAAAGAAAAGGGTGGGGTGCTAGGTGTACTTGAAGCATGAAAAAAATTCAAAAGCATGGAAGGAAATTCCAAAAATCTGAAAAACAACCTACTTCTTCTTATCGGACACTGTCTGGTCTTTGCATTTGTAACTGATAATCGGTAAATTTTGAGCTGCCGCCATTGTCGCTTCAGTTCGACAGTTCATTTCTGGACCAATGAACACACGAGCGCCCATCTTCCAATGATCCATGAAATACTGTGTGCCTGGAAGTGAGAATGCTGCTATTCCCTTATCCTACGCTAAGGAGAATGTTTTGATTACAAAGCTTTCTCAGAGAAACAAAGAACAATGAAAAATGTATAGATAAAAATTACTATAAAATCAGGCACGAGGTAAGTATTGGCTCCAAATTTGCTTGAGAATTTTCCAAGCCGAGGCTACCCTCTGCATTGTCTAGGCTATTACTTTTCTCTCCCGTTACTACAAGGTATAAGACTTGTCGACGATTACGCACCACTGCTGCTTATACAACAGGGATACGATAAACACGATAAGTGGCAATGTAAGGGTTCAGTGTAGATTAGAACAGTCTAATTGGCCACAATCCCCATAAACTCCCCACGTATACCGCAGTTCACATTAATATAACAGAGAGCAAATTTCAAAGCAGAAGCCACAGAAAAAAGATATAACAAAACGAAAAAAGCTCTAACTCACTCTGCCGCTCCTTCCCACATGTGTTGTCGAAAATATAATTAAGACGATGATTAGGTAAAAGATCTGGATTGGCGTTGATTTCATTCACAGCCACATGTAAAGCACCAGAGATCATTGAACCTGAAAGTGAAACTGAACGTTTACATTATCCACCAAATAAAATGAACAAGTTCAACTTGCATAAACTATGTGGATATTTACATTACCAGAATTTCGAAAAAGTGAACTTACCGTCGAAATCTGTACTGAAGCAATTGAACATGGTATAGATCTGTTTAAAACGTTCATCATGAAAAGGCGACGACGACGATGAGGCATCCGAAGCCCGTGTCTAGAAAATGCTTTCTTCAAAAGAGTATTTCGAATCTTTTTATAAAATCTTATTACCCGAGCTATACTGATGGCTTTCATGAACTCTTCTGGTTGTTCATCTAGCCGCGAAACTGCCGCCAGATAGCTTATAAGTATCTCATTGTCGTTTGTTGAATTCGGATCCAGAAGCTAAATGCAAACAATTGAATATAGCATACACAAAAAAGATTACCTCACATAAAGACTCTTAGGGTGTGTGTACTACTTCTAAGCCGTACAATCAGCTTTTTCCATTACACAAGAGACGTCTTCAGAGATTACGTAGAATGTCAAATTATTGCGTTGTAAATGCTTTTGTGTCAAATTACTCCATTGTAAACGCTTTTGTTCACGTTATCAGTTGATATTTGATATAACGTTTCCCCAAAAAGCTCTCACTGAGATGATAAAATGAAAATCGAAAATTAAATTTGCCCATTACTACAGAGGAATAGCCAAACAAAAACAGCAATTTTCTCAAACCGAATCAATGAACCAAGAAAACACGGGCAATCACAGTAATAAGGTCTCCTACAGGGCATCAACGTCACGCGCTATTCGCAACGTACACGTTCCTCTTCAGCCACCTCATGACTTTATTTCGCTGGTGGAATTGCACGCCACTCTAGCCGCCAAATCTAATAAGCACGGAAAAGGATCCCATAAACTCGTAAATAGACTCAGTAGATTTCGAGTCATAAGTCATTTTTTGCTTCAAAATACATAAAAAAGAACACTCACCGCTCCTACATTTGGCTGTGACACCTCACGTGACTCCGAGATCTGGCATTGGGACCATCGAAACAACAACAATATTAACAACGTGGGGTCAACAAAAAACCCGTGACGCATATTCAGCTTAAGTCATGCGTTCGAAGACACCACATTCACTCTGAAAAAATTTCAACATGATAACAGTTCAACAGTCTGTCTAAGGTGTGTTATTGCGAAGATTCTTGCTTGACAACGCGGAAACATATACGATATAAATGTAATAACGAGCAACATTTGCAAGGAAAACATAAACAGAGCGATCATATCAGTCGTTGTTGCACAAGCAGCAATCATTCCGGGAAGGCTGTCTGAGTCAGCAGAAAAACATGTGTGCAGATTGCTTCCTGCAAACGCAGTCAGCGGGTTGGAATGAGAAATGTGCCGACTGCAGCAACGGGCGTGCGGCGGCCGGCCTCAGTCGCCGGGCGCAAAGTACATAACGGCGAAAAACATGAAAACAACGGAAAAGCTCGCTGCAGTCGTCGTTGTCGTTGAGACCAAGAATAAATTGCCAGCCAACGACCACGAAACCAAGGGTATGGTAGTCGTCGCACTTACAGAAAATGAATAATACCAAGTCAACAGCCACAACAACGAATTCTGAGCTGCATCGCAAAGCAATCTCAATAAACGGATGGGGAATCACCAAACGTTTCACCTTAAAAACAATCCCAGATAAAATTGGTGTAGTAACAGCGGCCGGGAATGGAACTGTGGAGGACGAGTTGAATATCAATAAAAAAGAAGCAAAGCAAACTCTCGATGAAACCTTGAACAGGATCCCTCTCTTTCCCAGTTAAATGAGAGAGGCGTGTGGGACGAGTGTGAATTTTCGCGCCTCCACGACTCACAATCAGTGCGTATTTATAACGTCCGTAAATCGAACATGTAATGAATGGATGGCGGTTTGCGTTGTGGATCATCGTCCACAAGCTCAACTCCAGCCGTCACTTTATAAGGCCTTCATTAAAGTCATCGTCACGCGACCTTCGAGTCGCGACGGCGGCACAATCGTCATACTCGCAGGCTGCTCTATCCACAGAATAGATTGTGTAACACCTCATCTGGGGTAGCTCTTGCTTTAAAAGGATTAGAAGGAGCACGGGATGTCTACAAAAAATTTTCAAAAAGGTTTCTGATCTTGTTATTCCTACTGGTTAAATCGTTAGGCCCATAGGAGATCGCCACTGCGCATGTGACTCATCTCTTTTTTATTAAACCTTCAAAAATTTCACTATTCATAATGAATGCATTATTTCCAGGATCTATATTGCATTTGGAAAACTTTCGAGCCTTAAAAATGCCAAATAAACCAAGCAAAAATAGTCTACTCTGAATAAAAACTTCAACCCGCTTAGTCCCCGGCGTGGAAGGGGATAAGGGATTACGAGGGCGTGGGCCAGTAGAAAAAAAGCGACTTTTAACTTTTCGTAGACTTTCCCGCTGCGGGTCCACCCTTGGTCATGAGCGGACCTGCGGTAACTGCAGCAAAAAAGTTTCACAAAAGCGAGGAAGCCGCTTTCTGTCCTGAGCACCCACACCCGGGTTAGGCTGATGTCAAAGTCCGCGATCCGTCGCGCGATTCGCAAAAATCGCAAGTGCCCCATTTGAACATGAACTTTGAACACTGAATATGAAACAACCAGAATCATGAACAGTCGTCATTCAACCATCACCATCAAGCAGAAATGGCGGGGAGCACCTCGCAGTATTGATCGGGGCACTTGTGATTTCTGTGATCCGTCGCGCGAATCGCGCGACGGACCGCGGACTCTGACACCAGCCTTACGCTGTCCCCAAGGTTCAAAGAGAGCATACATGCCATCTAAGAAATTCTCTGAACAAACTTTAGCGATAACTCAGCCTATAACTAAAATTTACAATAGCATCAATCTCGATTAGATGCCTAATGTCTTGAAGCGGTTGCCGTTCACAGCTAAATGCTGAATTACGGCTGAAATTTGTGCTAAAGTAAATACTGCTATTCACTGAGTCGAACTTGGGTTTTACTT